CGCAAATTAACATGTGAGAAAATGCACAGTCTTGTTTGTTTAATTTTACTGACGTACCAACCAGTGGTGAAAAGAAGGGATGACCATGTTTTCTTGTGATATGGCTTGTGTTTTTCAAAGTTCTGGCACAATACATGCACAATGGAACAAAAAGGGATTGGAACAGAGGTTTAGAGAGGTTCGGCTGGATTTTTACATTGTTTTGACCTTGAGCAAATTTTAAAGTAGTAAAGAAATGCTCAAAAAGGCCCCTGACTTTTAACCAGTTCAAGTGATTTAGCATGTTTCTACGCTCTTCTCAGCAAAGTTTTATTACACACAATTTACTATTTCCAAAAATATTCCTTTGTCTCAAATCAAAAGCACATTAACTTATATGAGTTGGGAGGATGGTCCAGAATCTCTTAGTGCTGAGAATTTAGAGTTCCTTTTCCTGGAACTAAGTGCCTGAAAAACAACCCCACACCATAATCCCGCTTCACCAAACTTCACATTGCAGTTAACTTCTGGGTTACTTGCGGAACGGAGATGCATGTCGGAGACTGACTGATGGGAACAATCCCTGGCAGAGTGACTGAGTCCACCATTTAAAAAGGCCAATGATGCATTGTGCAGATGTCGGTGATTAGATATGAATTTAAGCCCAGTGAAACCTACACTCACTCTGAGTTTTCCAAGGAGCCGAACCCACTTACCTCTCTGCACCTCAGAATACTGTGCTACCTCTTTCAGAGAACCGGGGTTATGCAAGTAGCCTAGATATTCCCTTTCCCTGATGGGAACCCCTTGTAAGAGGCCATGTCCAAGGTCCTTCTTAGGGTCCTCAATATGGTCGTAAGAGGAACCAGGCAATGCTGAAGCACAACTTGATTCACCCAGAGCCAAACTGGATCCACAGGGATGATTCGAGGGTTCGCCCAACAGCTGTTAACCTGAATCATCGTCCGAAGCTTCAGAAGAGCTGGACTGATTCGTAGGCTCATGAGCCACCCAAGAGTGAGGGTTGGCGGCCTCTTCCTCGAAATAGGACCTCCTATACTCCAATGAGAGCAGAGCATCGTAGTGCGAGTACTCATGTTTTACAAGAGCAACGTAGACGTGTTTGAAGCCCAAACACTCCACGGATATCTCATGACCATCTTTCGATGAGATAAATCCCTTGCAGCTGAGATTATTACAGAGTTTGCCCATTACATCATCAAAAATAGATGAAATGACAAGCAACGTGGAAACAGGCTTGCTAGAAGACTAGAGGTGCTGCGGCATGGTGGCTTCGCTATCTGGGCTAGCTTCAGGTAACCGTTTAATACTACAGTGTTTAGCATCGAAGTAAAGAGACACACTCTCAGTATGCTCCAAGGAAAAGGCAAAATGAGAGTACACTGGGCTTAAATTCCCAGCTGATTGCTAATCACTAAAATGGCAGACTCAGTCTCTCTCCCAGGGATCATTCCATCAGTCGGTCTCTGACATACGTCTCAGAGATAGACTGAAAGGGAACAAGTGAACATCTATCAGATCATAAGATGGAAAACCATGATTTGTCACTTCAGAGAACGTGACGTTTACTCCATTGCGTCTGTTCTTGATGATGTTTGGTTCGCGTCTACTCAACCAAGAAACCATCGTTATGATCTGGTGTTGCAGCTAATCTGAAAGACACACGAAGTTGGTGACTTCATCCTCAATTTGTGTCTTCATGTGGCTCACCACTTAATGGCTGAGTCCCAACTTACTTTTACTGTGTTATAACAACCCCTGACAGCCGACTGTGAAATATTTAGCTGCGAGGAAAGATCTTGACAGAATTTGTTCCTCAGGGGAACCCTATCAGTGAGTTTCCAAGAGCTTCATCGTGGCACTGATGCAGTCTGCTGGTTGTTTTGAAACACCTGTGACATGAATTGTCTCCATTCATCTGTGAACTTCAACTATTGATTGTGTTTCTAGAGTAACTAGAACGGTTTCGATGGGCAAAAATGTAGTAAAATGTCACTCACTCAGGAAAGCAGTGTGCAGCACTGATGATCCAGCGATCTGAAATGATGGATCCTCCACATTGATGAATCCCGTCGTACTGCAAACTGACCTGCCAGGGCCAGGATCCCTGCCGTGCATCAACGCCGCCAACAATCCGCTCTTCGGGCAGCATTCGACGACCACAGTCTACAGGACCAGAGAGTCAACTAACATTATATTCTCAGTTTAATATGAGGAAATGTGTCTTGAACTGAGCACTTACCCTGACAAATCACCTCAAGAATCTGGCCCTTGTCACATTTACTGGAAGGGGAAGTTAAACAGGACGAAGGATCAGAGAAGCATTTAGTTGCTGTTTCTGTTTTCTTTGTCTGACTAATCTAAACCAATCACTCACTGTGCTCTTGACCATACACCTGGGTTTGGTCGTATAAGACATTTCAAACAACTCAAGTACTTTGTTCTTAATTTGGCAACATTTAATTGTTTTTAATCAAATCTGTACTTTGTTCTCCTTACTTTCACTTATAGTTTTTGTACTGATCAATCATTTTCTTGTCATCGTTATGTCTGGAATGTACAAAGCGTACATAAGTGTTTGAGAAATAACACAAGAAAGACAAAAGTAATATTTTTAATGTAAATATGTTGTAATTTTTATTGATCTAGTAAAATGCTATTAAGGGTGTTGTGTATAGTAAGATTTCTACATGGATTTTTAATCCAAGCATAAAAAATGTCATGTGGTTTGACACAATTGTGACAAAAAATAGCTTTGTTAGTGGTAATCAAATTTTTTTTACCGTCATTTAAGAGGATTTTTGGTTGAAAATGGTTTGAAAGATTTGAGGAGCCCTTCTTTTTCATGATGATTTAAAAAAGTAAGCCAAATTAGCAAATTTTTGCAAGTCATGATTCTAAAGTTAGGGTAAGTGAGCTTTCATGTCGCACCAAATGACAATTGGTGCAGCACATTGATAGAAAAATGCAGATTTTCATCATAATATAAAATAGAACGCAGCTAATTTGGAAATTTAAGAGGCAGAACTGCGCAAATTTATCTCCGACAAGATATTTGAACTTTTTTCAGCTTATGTGTCTCTTGGGTGGTAAATACCGTTGTGCTCATAAGTTTACATAATAATTTTCTGTAAGAACAATTTTTCAAAAAACGATGACACAAACACGTTTTTATCGTTTTTATTGTCAAACATCTGTTATCTATCAAAAATCTTAATAACAGAAACTTTTCAAATGACCCTGATCAAAAGTTTACATGCATAAAAAGGTTTGAGTGGCTGGTAAGGTAACCACTCCTCACCTCAACCTTTTTCTTGGAAATAATGTTTCTGGCTCCTGATAGTCCCTTGTCTCTTTCATCCAGTGATGCACTGACATTTCTGAATTCAGAGCAATGGGGAAAGCAAAAGAACTGTCAAAAGATCTATGGGAAAAGATAATTGAACTGTACAAAACAGGAAAGGGACATAAAAAGAACTCCAAGGAACTGGGAATGCCAATTAATCAAAGTGAGAGATTCTGGTGAAACTAATAAAAAATTTCTGCTAAAACTGCCAGAAACATTGTAAGGGATGCAAAGACAAACTGCTTCATCCGCTTCACACATAGCTTCAGCTGAAATATAGGGAACTGTGAAAGAATGTGGCACTGTTTTTGCGCCAAACAGCTCACAGACAAGCTCCAAACTTCTGCAACAAAGTTATTTGTAGTGATGAGACCAAAATGTTTCCCCACAACCATAAACATTACATTTGGAGAGTAATCAACACGGCCTATGATGAACGGAATTACCATCCTTGATGCCACTATTGTTGGTCATCCCCTGGCAACATTTATTAAACTTCTCCCCAAAGACTCATATATTGGACTTTTGCAAAGTAATGAATTGAGAGGAGAATTCCATGTATATGGTCTTATATGTAAAGATATAAATGATTCAATGAGAGTTTTTTTTTATGAATAGGTACTGAGTTAATTGGGTCACACCTGATCCCTGACTAGGGGATAAAAAAACCCATCTGAACAGACTTCAGCAAACATTTTTCTGATCCCTGATCCCTGACGTAGGGCTAGTTAGGTTAATCAGTGCTGGGTATAAGAAGCCAGAGGGCATGGGGTTTAAGGGGAGACGTAACATATGTGAGTTGCAGTGGGAGAGGATGGTGAATAGCAAACAACTGAGTTTAATTGTTGATTGAAGGATCAGCAATATTGGGATGGAAAGACGACTTTTTACGAGGCCAACCTCAAGGTTTGTGGTTGTATGGAGCCATTCCCCCGTGAAGGTGTTTGGAGTTCAGGCCCTTGGGGAGTTAACCCAACACTGCTGACTGCTTCTGGTCAGGATTTTGCTCAGAGATGCATTTTAGTTGCTGAGAGCTGAGGATCTTGCCTGTAATCGTCGTGAAGTTTGAACAGAATGAGGTTTTTGCCATCATGCCATGATTTCTCTGTTTGTTAGGCCATTGTTTAAGCTCATGGTTATGTTTATTTATTTGTTTGATACGATTTGTCCATGGATGACTGAAGAATAAAACTCAATTATGGACCAGACTGATGCACCCTCATCTCCTGTTTACTCCAGTGATCTCTGACACAGGAAACTTGGTCCGAGGTTACAGCAGAACAAAGTGAAATTTCTGAAGTGGATCTCAGGCTCCTGACCTCCATATCATTGAACCACTCTGGGGAGAATTTACAAGAGTTGGAGGCTTTTTGCCTTGAAGAATGGGCTGCTTTCCAAACAGAGCAGATAAAGAACCTCATCGATAACAGCCTCAAGAAACTCCAAGTGGTCATTGACATTAATGAGGGGAATACAAAATATCAAGAGCTTTTGATCAGAGTCATTTGGAAAGTTTCTGTTGCCATTATGTTTTAATAAGAGTAAACACAGTTGTTAGACAATAAATCCATCCATGCATTTTCTAATCCGCTTAATACCTTTCGGGGTCACGGGGGTCTGCTGGTGTATGTAAACTTATGGGAACAACTGTAGCTTTCCTGTGGCTCAGTTGGTAGAGCATTGCGCCAACAACTCCAAAGTCATGCGTTTAAATCCCAGGAAAACCAGGAACTGACCAAAAAAAATTTGGAAAAAAGTGTCTGCCAAATGCATAAACAAAATAATTATATTATATTTGAAATGTAAATGTATCTAATCTAAAAATGGCTTCACTGCAAGTCAAGAAAAAAAACCCTGAGATCGTGTAAAACTCCCACTTCTTGTACTGCTAATGGACTTAGTATTAGGGACTGTTGAAGAAAATCATTATCTTTTTTCATATTACACTGTAAAAACATCACAGGGGTTTCTCTAACTTGCGCTACAGAACAGCACTTTCCACGTTATAAACGTTATTTCTTTAACGACACCTTGACTCTAACATTTTTGAATCAGTTTTGAATCAGACCCTTTTTGCACTGGGAAATAGGAGCGCAAGAACCCGGAAGCGCTACGCGACGTCATGCAAACAAGCGGAAAATAGAGCAGAACAGCTTGTGTTTGTTCATATCTCAAATTTTTCTTCGCATCTCAAAGCAATAAAATTTCCCTCGAGACCTTTCGTATCTCGATCATTTCATAACTTGAAGCATTCGTATCTCAGGGGAACCACTGTACTGCTGCATAGAGGTCAGACATCATTTATGAGTCAGTGATGTGAGAGCACATCATACTTTTAACCAACATTAATAATTAGCATTAAGAAACCTAAATTCAAAATTCTCTCATAGGACCAAGTCTGTTATTAAGGATGTTTCTGAAATGTGATTTGTTTCTATTTAAAGCATTTATTAAGGAAAGAGCATTTGGACAAATAAATTATGTAAATGTTCCTGATTTTAAAATTAATTAAACAGTAAACCCAGCACCATAACACTGTCCTTAACAAATTAACACTGCTAAACTTTATAATGTTCCTCACAAGTAAATTCAGTCTCTTTTCCCATCTCTGAGCAATGTCAAATATTGACTTTATTGTGTATTCCATTTTTTACAAGCTGCAAAATTACGCAAACTTGTAATTATGAGCTTAAATTCAGCTTAAGTTTTATACTTTAAACTTTTTCCAGTAAGTTATGTTATCAAAACCTGGTTTTACATATTTTGTGTGATACGCCAAAATGATTTCTGTCATATATTTAAAGGAATGCTTTACACAACTTACTACTGTAATTAGCTCATGGCTAGTTAGTGTCTTACCAAGGATAGATGGCTGTTTTTATCTTCTTCCCATACGTTAACTCACTCTCTTTCACGCAGAAATAGTCACGGTCACCACCATTGTCAGGCGCACACGTCACCGAGGAATTCACTGCTCTGAACAGAGACGTTCTGCATGTCATTTTCATTACATTTCGACTAGATGAATAAACCTGCTTATAATGGGCTAGCCAGTTACCTGATGAATCCCATCTCCTCACAGCTGATGTTGGCCACCAATTGGTTGGCACTGGATGAGCAGACGTATCTCCATCTTCTCTGTGTGGAGTCAAAGATCCTCAATCTCTGGTCTGCTGCGCTCACCTGTACTGCAGGACACGGCAAGGGCGGTCAGTACTTCGCCTTTCTTTCATTCCAACTGTAATACTATTTAATCAGGGCAGTCAATTTGAAACTTACGAAAGTCCTAGTATTTACTAAAACCAGAGAAAAAAATTACATTTGAGTTCCACACTAAAAGTTGGCCTTGTCTCAAAAATATTTCAGTTCTTTTTAATATACAAAAAACTACTAAACTGTACACACAAGGACTTGTTGGCATAATTTCTCTTTTCATTAACTAGTCCTAGGGTCTTAGAACCCTTTAACTTTCCAGATTGGGTAATACAACCTAACCTGGATCCTCAAATTCAAACTCTATAGCACCACCATTAGTCCAAAGTTACTCTCTTATGCTAATTACTGATCGAACTGCTTAATCCTTAGCTCAGGCCAGTTTCATTGCACTAAATGATGTTACGTTATGCCAATTAGCAGCCATTATTTTTAATTGTTGCCATTTTGAACTCTTCCTAGACAGATTATCTGACTTTCACCAAATTTAGTACAGATCACCCTGTAATCGTGCTGATTAAAAGTCATAAAAATCAAGTTAATTCAACAAAGCATTTACGAATGGGTTGTGAACAATTAGACATGATGCTTTGCAAAATGGCTGTAAGGCTATATCCCAGTAACACTTTAGAATATCAACATGAAACTTGGTGGATGTTATAATAACCGTTATCTGAGGTTGCTTGCTGGATTTCAGCACAGTGCCCTTATAAATGGCTTTTGGCCTTATAATTCTATATCTGTTCATCATAAAGTCTTAACATTGGTCTCAGTGCATTCGGGCCATCATGCAGAGTCCGACTACGTCCATTTTTAGTATGTCAGCCATTTTGATTGTCAGGCATCTTGAATTTAGTCAAAAGTTATCTATTTGCTGGCAGGTGTTGATTAAATTCATATAACTGCACAGGGCTGTGAAATATAGACCAATTAATTATATTGGTGTTTTTTTAACAAATATTGTGATTGTGATTTTATTTGCGATTTTGCAACTGTTTTTGCTTGTCAAACAAGCTATATACATACATTCTAAATGTGTTCAGTGCACAAGAAGTGCATAACAAAACATTTCACAATGAAATAACAAAGCTGTAGGGGTGTCCAAACTTTTTGCACAGGGGGCCGGATTTGATGTTGTAAAATGTGGGGGGGCCGACCTCGGCTGACGTTCATTACATAAAGCAACAATATATTTAAACACAGTTTAGCAAGCCATTCTGTGTTTCACATTTTCTTTTTTATTTTAATTTTAACAATCAAAGATGTATTTTGGTTCATTTGAACATGAATTATATTATCATGGGAGTTCACAGAATTTTTGAATAACAGAAACGATTATGCACAAGTGCAGAACTAATTTGATATGACATATCATCAAATATAAATGTTGATTGAACGGTTTATTCTGGAGTGAAAACTGACAACTTGTCTGAATTTGTGACTGAACAAAACAAAATTAAGTCAGAGTTAATTAATTGACAAATGACTTGCCTGCATTAATGTGACGGGTGATACTGAGATTGTGGCTCAAAGGCAGAGGTATTGATGCGCAAGATATCTCGCAGGTGAGAGTCTGTGAGCCGTGTCCTAACACAAATCTTTTTTTAAGTTCATAACCGAGAATGTCCTCTCACACAAATACGTCGACCCAAACAAACTCAGCATTTTCTTAGCAAACTCTCAGTGTTACGTGCCAGGCAGCTCTTGCTGCTTCTCAGGACATATTTTCTTCACCATAGTCATCACGCAGCCTTTGATAAATTCACCCTCAGTGGAAGGTTTGCAATGCTTCGCGATCAGTGTTGCTACCTGGTAACTAGCCTTTGTGGCATTCTCATTTGACTCTCGGGCTCTTGCAAAATACTGCTGCTGTGAGATTAAACTAGCTTCAAGTTGTGTCAATTTGAATTATCATTCATGTCAGCGTGTTTCGTTTGGTAATGTCGCTTGATGTTGAACTCTTTAAAAACAGCCACTGTCTCTTTGCAAATGAGACAGACACGGTTGTTACGTATTTCTGTGAAGAAATAGTCCAATTTCCACCCCTCTTTGAAGCGTCGACCCTCGCAGTAAACTTTCCTTTTCTTATTTATTGTCGCCATTTTAGAAAATTGGGGGTAAAAGGTTACACGGGGTGATGTCGCATAGAGTGCTCCTGCCTCTAGTGGGTAAATTAGGAACAGTGGGTAAATTAAGAACAGCACTTACTAAGATATGTGCGGGCCAGAAGTTATTAATTTTATTACAGAGGCTGCGGGCCAGATTAAGTTTGACCACGGGCCGCATTTGGCCCCCGGGCCGGACTTTGGACATGTCTGCTGTAGACGGACAACATAAAATAAATTAAGATTAACTAACCTCAACTTTATTTAATAGCATACTGTACACAGTCGTACTAACTGCTTAATAAAAAAAGCTGTTTAAACTTTTAAAAACAGACATGATAAAATAACTTGAATTTCAGTCATAAAAATAAATGTAAATCAAAACCAAAAAACCAATTATTCTCTTTTTTTGCAAGAAAAAACACATTTCTGGTTTTATGCATGTCACCACATTTCCCCCAATATTAAACACTCTCTCCGAAGGTAAGCTGGTGGCAGGAATACAAAGATTCATTGTGCGCAGGTGAGCTCTGACATCAGAGACATCTTTCTCCCACTGAGTTTAGCTGTAATTGCCTGGTGTGCTGCGTCAGCTCTGGTTGGTTTACATATTAAAATCATGCCACAAGAAAGTATTCTGGATAAAAATGTAAATAAATTAACAGATAAAATTGCAGCCTTGTGCGATTTTTAGAAATTAAATCTTGATTAGCCCTACCGCAGAGGTTCCTCGGATTCAGTAACGTCAATCCGCCGGTAGATTAACTCTTCTCTCTTGCTCTCGGCTAGCTTCTCCCAACTGCAGTAATCTACGGGCCATGAGTACAGCGGCGTAAATGGCAGCAGGAAAATGTCGGCTGTTGACTGCAGTGGTCCCATTACTTTCCTTGACCCTACCCCCTCCTGCAATGTTTTTTTTCCTGTATTATGTCTATATGTGCTTGGTTGCAATGGTTTTTTACCTGCTCCACACTGCCCTCCGAAGGACAGTGCGGAAAAGGCTCTTTTTGAGCTACCTCACCTAATGTATACCCATTTCTCTGTTTCTTTCTCAAATGCTCCCTTCTCAACACTGGCCTGTCCTCACTTTGTCTATGTCTGTGGCCAGAGGGGTCTTATTTCACTGCATGTAACAGTGTTTACGACAAATAAAGGTTATTTCATTTCACCCTTCCCATAGTAACTAAGGGGTTTGGTTGAGAGCGAAACAGCAGCAGCAAACTTTGCCCAATTTCCTTATCTGGGATTACTGGGATATTTTAGTGATGATATAAAGTCATGTTTATGTTGGCAATATATGGTCATGGCTTAAACAGTATAAACTACTTCCAGTGTGGTTTCTACAATATTATGCGGACTTGGTTTTCAGAATAATTTGAATAAGCTCGGGCTCGGTTCCACAGACT